TACCCCCCAAAATCTGCAGCCTCGGGTAGCAGCCTGCTCCTGCTTTACCCCTCCCCCAAAATCTGCAGCCTCGGGTAGCAGCCTGCTCCTGCCTTTCCCCCCAAAATCTGCAGCCTCGGGTTGCAGCCTGCTCCTGCCTTACCTCCTGGGCATCTACAGTCAGGGAATTTTGACAAGAGATTCTAGACCTTTCCACGGCTGTAGGCATTCATTAAATAGAATGCAGCAACTCCAGCAAAATGGATTCCACTTCTAACAAAAGGAAGTTACTAGGAAAACGAGCTCTGACACATGAGCAGAAACGTTGTTTTTAGCAGCAGAAACGTTACAGTTGTGTGTCAGCAGGTCACTGTTTTCTAATGTTTTTCCAGAGAAATGTATTGACTTAGTTGTGGAGTTAAAAACCAAACTAATTCCCACCTTACACCTGATAGAGTCAGAAAAAAGATTCTGGTGAGGCAAGGTTTTGCTTCTTTGTGAAATTCAGAGATATGTCATATATAAAAAACCAACAAAATTGTATGCCTAATTCGAATAGTGAAGGAAATTAGTTGCAAAGTTATTTTTATTCCATTTCAAATGGATAGTTCTTTTTAATAAATACCTATAAGGAGAACAAAGAACACAGTAACCTGTAGTCAAGAAGGCTGCTGAAGAGGGTCTGCAAGGTGATTCGCCACGAAGCCCTCTGAATACTTCTGAGAGGAGGGAAGGTCCCCTAGACAGGGTGCCCCACTCTCCTTGAGGCTCTGCAGATGGGGCCAGGCTTCTCCCTGACCTTTAGGGTCCTGCATGGGTTGTTCTCTTGTTAAAGAGAACAAGCAGTGTGCAGGTTTGCCTATGAGTCTCAGAGTTTAAGAGTGGGTGTTTTTAGCAGTTTAGGCAAAGGGTTCATTTGTTTTTGAGACAAGAGTCTCACTTGCCCCCACTAGAGTGTTGTGGCATCATAGCTCACAGCAACCTCAAACTCTTAGGCTCAAGCAATCCTCTTGCCTCAGCCTCCAAAGTAGCTAGGACTATGGGCACCCACCACAACACCGGGCTATTTTTAGAGATAAGGTCTTGTTTTTATTCGGACTGGTCTTGAACTTGTAACCTCAAGCAATCCTCTTGCCTTGGCTTCCCGAGTAGCTGGTACTACAGGCACCTGCCACCATGCTTAGCTAGTTTTTCTGTTTTTAGTAGACACCAGGTTTTGGTCTTGCTTAGGCTGGTCTCAAACTTCTGGACTCCAGCAGTCCACCTGCTTTATCCTCCCAGAGTGCCAGGGTTACAGGTGTGAGCCATAGCACCCAGCACGATTTCTTTTTTTTTTCTTTTTTATTAAATCATAGCCATGTACATTAATGCAATCATGGGGTAGTATGGTGTTTTCATATACAATTTGAAATATTTTCATCAAACTGATTAATACAACCTTCATGTCATTTTCTTAGTTATTGTATTAAGACATTTATATTCTACTTTTAGAAAGATTCACTTGTACCCTTGTAAGATAAACCATAGAGGTGATTCTACCTATCACCCTCCCTCCACCCATCCACTCCCTCCTCCTCCCCCCAAGATTTCTTAAGGTAAATGCCACTTCAAAAATTAACAAAATATTTCCAAGTCTTATAGTTCTTGATTTTGAGTAATCTTCAACAAAGTTTTAGTTAAATCAAAAAATGATGGACAGCCCCTGAGTTCTACTGTAAAAGTGATCACAGTGTATTTGGCAGGAATATGTCCTACAAATTTGCTCTTGAGGAATATTATTATATTTTTGGGTTTTTTCTCCTTTTTCTTCACCAGGGATGCAGTTATGAAATGCTGTTCTTCTCTCCTAAGCTGAAAATCAGAAACTCCTGGAAAAGAACATTAGAATGTAGATACTCTGTTGCTTTTCTCAATAAAATAACTCCCAAAACACTGCATAACAGTTTAAGGCCATTTTGTACTAAGACTGTTTTGTATACTGGTAAAAACTACATACTTGATTAAACTGTTAAATGCTTGTAACTTTAAGTGCATTATATGTTACTAATATGTTCTTCCAAAGATGATGTTTTTAATCTTTGACAACAGTAAATTATTTTTTGCTAGTATCTTTACAATCTTTTCAAAACACCTTTTGTAATGTAAATATTTAAGGGATAAATTTGTGCTGCAATATATATTCAGCTTTTTTTAGCTTTTTAAAAATGTCTACATTTTTAAGCCATCATGTTTTTAAAAACTAAATGTGAAACTTTTTATTTTAAGCTAAAAAAATTGCTTCTTATGTGTAATAAAAATAATATATAAATTTTACAATTTTTGAAATAAACCCACCTTGGAAAAATAACATTTCTGAATAAAATTTATACTATTTTAAAGTGATAAAATTTAGTTGAAGCTCTGTAAAGTCTCTGTAGGAAAGTGAGATGCAGCCTTTCCCCTGGGTAATTCTGCTGAGGTCAGAGTGTGAAGGATGAGAGGCCTCAAAGCATAGCCCAGGCTGGGACGGTAGGGGAGCCAGGCCCCAGGCCCCAGGCCCCAGACTCAGCCACAGTAGGAAGCTGCCTCACCCTGGCGGGGGACAGAAGGAGGGAGAGCTGGCTGGCTGGAGCCTTGGGGTTGAGGTAGACAGGATTTTCATTTGTATACCGATACCCTCAGGTCCCCTCAAGCCCTGGCACAGGCTACCCTTGTCCTACAACCCCAGTTGCCAGGAAACTTCAGGACTGGCACAGAAAGGGAAGGCGGGGGATGCAGCTGTGCCACGGTGCGGAGGGCAGGCGGCCCTGCCTCACTCTGGCCCGTGAGAGTCCATAGGAAAAGAGCCCACAAAAGGGTGACATAAAAGAGCTGCTCACATAGGTAGCCTGGGGACGAGTGGTGGGGAGAATGTACCGAGGGGTCAGCAGGACAGGAGTGGGGAAGTATGGTAGTTTGATTAGCACTGAAGTCCAGCAGGGGGGCCTGGAGAGCTGAGCTGGAGGCAGGGTGGAGAGACTGCCGGAGAGGCAGCTCTGGTGGGCCAGAAGGCACTGCACACGGTGTTGGTGCTGGGTGGACATGCCGCCCGTGCTCTAGAGAGGTCACAATTCAGGAGTGACAGACACGCTCCCAGTTATGAGGTGTGGCGTCTGTGGCTGCAGAAATACCCACGGGTAAATGTGCAGCTCAGCCAGCAACTGGGGAGATGTGGAACCACCAGCCCGAGGAAGAGGAGGGTGCCCAGTGGAGCAGAATCGTGGCATGTGGGAGGGGCACACCACCCCAGCAGTGGGGTCTGCAGAGCACACAGTATGGAGCGGGGGTTTTACCCTGAGAGTAACAGGAGCTGGAGAAGGAGACTCTCACTGTAGACAAGTAACAGATGGCAGTGGTAGCAAGGACAACAAAAGCTCTCAGGTCTCAGAAAAGTCTGGGGAGACAAAGTCACCTGCAGAGTGCCCGGCAGGTGCCTGGCTCACGGCATCAACCTGTCCACGTGGCCATACGGACATGCAGCTGTAGCCCCACGGTGCGCAGTGTGACCAGGCCCAGCCTGCCTGGCTCCCAGGGCTGTACTCACTGGTGGGCCCCGCAGCCTTCTGGGGTTCTGCTCTCCCACCTGTCAGCCTGCTGCTGAATGCTCCATGAGGAAGACAGCAGGGTCTGCTCTCACTGAGAAAGGCTGGCTCTGTCCGGTGGGTGGGTGTGTGCTTACCTCTTGCCCTGCCCTGGCTGTCGGCTTCAGCCAGCTCAAGGTAAAGGACCTTGAGAGGCAGGGTAAGAGCAGAAAGGCCAGCGTGAAGATACCACCTTTGAATACTGCTTAAACCACCTCAAAGTATAAAGGTAGCCATGAAAATGCCTGTGAATTCATTTAAAGTTACTTTGTAAAGCCTCTTTAAAGCTGTTGACCATTCTAGTTACCGTGGTGACTCAGCAGTTACCTCTGGGTTTACCTGGGGGACTTCATTCCACTTTCTTGTGAATAGTTTAAGGAACAACTTAGATGCTTCTGTGAGGGGTGAGGGAGCAAATTAAACCACAGACTCCATGTGGGATGTGTTTAGTGTTTGTATTTAAAGTTGTATAATGGATGGAATTGAAATTACCAGGGAAGGACAGTGGACAAAGAAATCAGGCCATGGTTACTCTGGCAACAAGCTTCTTGCTGGTCAGGCTACAGGCACGGCTGGGTGCACTCAGGGTTGGTGGCTGGGGCTGCGTGTAATGTAGTACGACTTTTTCTGCCTAACTGAGTCACTCCAGGTTAGTTTCCTGTAAGAATCCACTCACTGTTTCTAAGAAGTCTCCAGTAACACAATTTCCATCCAGACTACATAATATAAAAAGTCTGGCTCAGTGCCTGTAGCCCAGGGGTTAGGGCGCCAGCCACATGTACTGGCCTTTGGGAGCTAGCCTAGCCCGGGGCCTGCTAAACAACAATGACAACAATAACAAAAAAACAGCTGGGTGTTGTGGATGGGCCCCTGTAGTCCTAGCTACTGGGAGGCTGAGTGAGGCAAGAGAATTGCTTAAGCCCAAGAGTTTGAGATTCAGGGCAACATAGTAAAACTCTGTCTCAAAAAAAAAGGTAAATATAAACTTAATCATTTTTAGCAGCACAATGTGACTTTTGTCTGTGAGCCCACGTTCCTGTGTGCTTCATCTTGTCCCAGGCTGCAGTAAGAAGGAACCAAGTGTGAAGTTTGCTTTCCAAGTGGAGAACACACCAGCCAACATTGTGATTACTCAGTGGGAGCTTAGGGCACCTTGTGAATGAGGGTGCCCAGGGGTCCCAGAGACCATCCAGGCCTATAGTCATAATTACACCGAGATGCCAGCCCAGTACACAGTGGAGTTCCGTGGCTCTGTGGCCTGTGATGGCCCACGATGAACACAGCAGGCGGGAGAGTAGGCCCACAGCTTGTCTCGTTTCTTTTACAAAATAGTATTTTTATTAAAAACATGTTAACATAATGTTTTCTATTTAAAGTCAGTTTAAATTTCTAATAAGGTTAACAGACTAGGTAGAATCTGCAAAATTAGCAGCTCTTTAGGCTCCTCAGTAATTTGGTCTTGAGACCAAAGAAAGCAAGACCCCTTGGCGGGGGAGTGTGCTCTGGGCCACTGCCCGACAGGCTGCCCATCACCCTGCAGGCCGGGTGTCTACTTGGGTTAGCAATGTTTGTGCTTCTCAAGGTGCCTGTGGGCTTTTAAGTAGAATAATCTAAGTAAAATGCATTTAGTGCTGAGGAGACATTGCCTGTTGTCTTAATAGAGAAAAGAGGAAAACTTTAAAATGGCACCAAACAATTCCTAAATGTTTTTCAACTCCCAAAGCCTGTCATAAGAACAGTATTAGCGGAAGAGCTTCAGACATTTTTAAGTTAGTGCCAAGTTCTTTAATAAAATGGTGTTTTTTAGAACAAAATTAGCATTTGCTGTTTTAAAATTAATATTTACTTTTAGTTCTAGATAGGTGGCTACTGGTCGCTATTCCATATATTATGTAAAATTATTTGAATCAAAATATAGCAGTGAAGTAAAGCAAATGGGAAGAGAGGATAATTAGAAAAACAACACAGAAATGTTTTCCACTTTGCCATTTCTCTGAACGTACATTTAAATATTATATCCCTCAGTAAAACCACCAAGAAATTGAGAAAAAGTAAACTATTTACAATTGTGGTTAATATCCTGCTGCTATGATGTGATTACTGGCTCTAGTTTTATTCACTGGTACTCCACGACAATGACAAAGCTAGTGACAATCATGTGCGTGTGTGCCTGCATGCGTGCGCGCGTGCGCGTGTGTGTGTGTGGGGAGGTATGGACCTGTGTGAGTGTGCAGGTATGTGGGTGTGTGAGAGAGTGCGTATTTGTCATGGGTGATTTCTGCAGGCTTGGCGGGAGCATGGTCAGAACTGTTGTTTAAGGGTCAATGATATTTGGTTTTGCTTACTTGAATTTTCAAATCAGCCACCTTATTTGAGATATTAAATTTACTAATCTTAGATGAAATGTAATCATGTATCAACTCTTGTAATTAGGTGAATCCAAAAATACAGTTCTGATAAGTTGATTACACTATTCTAGTATTCACATTTTACTATTTAATATATAAACAGTTGTCACCATTATATTCTGGCTGTGACATGCAAAATCCCATGTAAATTACATGTTAAAAATCAATGTATTTCTTGATTCTAATCACTGTTCAGGTGCATCTATTCAAAAGTTGAATTTGGCTGTGGTTTAGTGTGATTTTCTTTACTGGTACTTGTAACTGTCACCAAGTCAACCAAATAGAATGTGTAACGGATTCTTTAACAGCCATCACGCTGTGACTTAGGGCCAGCCCAGTGACAAATGCCATTTCTCAGATTCCTTCCCAGGCCCCAGACAATCTTTCTAACTTCTAGTGTCCTAGGGGCTGAAGATTTCAAGTTGCAGGGGACCTGGGCAGGGGACAAGTGATGCTGTCATGTGGTGCCTGCATCAGAGGGGAGACTGAAAAGCCCCGTCAGAAATGGTAACTCCTCCACCTCTTCTGGGGCAGCAGCCCACCGCAAGGTACTGGGGTCCCTTACCCCTACTAACAGCCGCCTTTGTTCTTATCTCCAGGGAAGACAGGGAAGAGCTGTGGTGCTTCCTGCCTGGTTCTGGAAGTAGTTACTGCTCTGCCTCTCAGGGTCAGACTGATAGCTTCCCAAGTGTCCAAGCATCTGGGCTGGGATAAGCTTTCCCCATAAGCTTTCTCTGACTTGGAGAATCCCAATTCCTAGTCAGATCAACAGGTACATCAATCTAGTAAACTCTGCCTTAGAAAATGCCCAAATTTCTACTGGTCTGGGGGTGGAGTCACTTAATCCAATCCCCTCCTTTTTTCTTCTCTTCTTTAGCTGAGTACAGCTTTGTACTTTGACTTTGGACACACCTCTGGAGATTGGAGTCCCATCTCCTTGACCCCTTATAGTTTTGTGGTATCTGATAGGTGCCTCCCTCCCCAGAGGGGCTGGAAGTTGGGGGTGTGCTCAGCATAATGGACTCCCATCAGTATCAGCTATTAATATCAGACCACAAGGCCCCGCCCCCAAACAATCATTACTTTGGAAGCATCCTAAGAGTTAGGAAATGAGAAGGAAAGACCCCGTCAGCCCAGCAATTTTGCACAGTGCCAACTGAGACCAGCAGCAGCAGCAGGCGGCTGCCCACTTATGAGCTGTGGGGCTTCATACTCAAACGTTGACGTGTCCAGCTGTTTGCTGATCTTTCTCTGTAGCCTGCCTCTCCAGCTGTGTCCCAGAAGGGATAATTGACACCCTCCTGCTTTAGTCCTCCTACTTCATCTTCTCTTCCAGTCCTCCACTCTCCTGGCAGAGGACTGTCCACCTGCTGCCACCATTGGCTACCTCTTCCCACTCGCCCCCAGTTGCATATTAACATCTCGCCCATAACAGAGGCTGTCTGCCCCTGAGGTCCCAGCAGGGATGGAGCTGGGAGGCTCACTTTGCATAGTTTATGGAGAATATGTAATTGTGTCAGGTGGTTGGGAGGCATTGGTAGAGATTACTGAGCCTCCACCTTTCCCCAGCCCAAGAAGGCTGGCCAAGTATCCATAGCTGTCCAGATATTTCTCGCCAAGTATCCATAGCTGTCCAGTTCCCCTGAGGCCACCAGCAGCCAGGTGGGGGAGGTGCTGCTGTTGCTGGGGGGAAGGGAAGTGGCAGTGGGAGCAGAGCCGTCCTGCTGTGCCTGTCAGGTCAGGCCACAGTTGAGTTTACCCAAATCTGAATATGCTTTGGAGCTAACCTGGGGCCATACCATAACCAGTTAGCCTAGAAAAGCGTTATCTGATGGGAAAGTATTTTGTACAGTTTGAACAGCTGACAATTACCCTCAAGTGATGCAGTGGCTGCTTATATGAAATTTTCATTTTTGAGGCATTGCTTTTTTTCTTTTTTAGCGGCAGAGTCTCACTTTGTCGCCCTCGGTAGAGTGCTGTGGCGTCACAGCTCACAGCAACCTCCAGCTTTTGGGCTTAGGCGATTTTCTTGCCTCAGCCTCCGGAGTAGCTGGGACTACAGCCCACAGCGCCTGGCTATTTTTTGTTGTTGTTGTTGCAGTTTGGCTGGGGCTAGGGGATATGGGGCCGGGGCCCTACTCACTGAGCCACAGGCTCTGCCCGAGGCATTGCTAATTGTTCGATCAATTACTCATTTACTCAACAAACATCGGAATCCTGGTGGAATGCTTTCAGGTTTCTGCACCTAGAATGGACGTTAGCGGTGTATGTATGCTGGCCTCACTTTCAGTCACTGCTGTGGAGATAAATACATCGCCTTGTTCACAGTAATTACTCATGAAGACTTTCTCTAATATTTCCGATGTCATCGTCATCACATAACTGAAACTTAACTATTTTGCCTATCCATAGATAGGAAGTTAGGTTTGTAATTTTAAAATGATTTCCTGCAATGTACTTCCTCCGCCTCTTACGTTCCAGCCGGCTGTTCCCCTGAGACCCCACGCGGAATAGCTGGATATGCTGCCGCTTCCTTCCCACCGTGGGAAAGCACTGAGAGGTTACGAAGGATATTCTCTCTCCCCGGCACCCCCGAGCCTGTGATCGGGGATCGCCGCTTCCCCGGGGGCCAGCTGGGGGAGCTGGTGGGACGTGAGTTCAGCCTCCGTCTGGGCACTGTGACTCCTCGCGGGCAACAAACAGTCTGCGGGGACACCAGTCCGGCCCGGCGGGCGGCGCCCTCCGCGAGCGCGCGGCTCCTCCTCCCGCCGGCTCGGCCCAGCCCGCGCGGTCGGATGGCAGAGGCGGCTCCCGTAGGGTCCACCTCCAGAGTGCGGGAGTTGAGGGCCAGACCCGGCCCCGGGAGGAGATAAGGGTTGGGGGAGCCTTCGATTCAAGTCCAGGGTTTGGGCGCGACATGTGAGAAGGCCAAGATGCTGCGGAGGGAGGCAGGTGGGTGCGGAGGGGCCCGAGGGGCCCGAGGGGCCGAACCCCAGCGAGTGACGGGGAGGGCGCAGGGGTCGCCGAACCCCGCGGAGAACGGGGCTTCGCGCACAGGGACTAAGACCGCGCCTCTTTTCCAGGAGACTGATGGCCGGCAGGCTCGGCTGCACGGGACCTTTCCCGCCGATGTCACAGCCGTGCGCCCCGGGCCCGGGGGTCTCCGCCGCGCGCCAGCCCCGGAGGCCTAGCGCGCAGCCCGTGCCCTCGCCGCCCGCCGCCGCCGGGGAGAAGAAGAGGAGGCCCCCAGAGAGGTCCGAGGTGCTTCTCTCCAGGTCCTGGCCCTCGGCCACCCTAAAGAGACCGCCGGCCCGGCGTGGCCCCGACCAGGGCAGGACGCAGCCTCCCGCCCCTCCGCGTTCCTCGCCCCGGGCCTCGCCCAGCCGCGCGCGGACCCCGGCCACGTGCACTACGCCCCGGCCGGCTGGTTCTGGCCTCACTCCTGCAAGGGCCGCCTGCGCAGGGACCTCCACCGGGACTGGAGCCACCACCTCGGGGACGTCGGCGCGGGCGCGTGCGCGTGCGGGGACAGGGGCCCGGCCAGACGACTCCCTGCGCTTCTCCTTGAGCCTCACCCCCGAGGCCGTCCTGGTCATCCAGAAGCGCCACCTGGAGAAGCGGCTGCTGGCTGAGCCCCGCAGGCCGTTCCCCGAGCCGTCGGCCGACCCCCGGCGCCTGCTGGGCCCCTGTTCCCTCGCCGGAAACGCCAGTCTGCGAAGAGGCGGCACCACCAGCTGCCCCGACGCGACCCCGGCCGCGAGCTTCGGCCGCCGGGCGACGCGATTCCCGGGGCTGCCCGGCGGCCCGCAGGCGCCCGAGTCCGGCCCGCGATCTGCCAACCTACGCTCGCTGCTCAAGGTGTCGTTACTCAACGAAAGGCACAAGTACGACGACGTGGAGTACGAGGAGGAGACCGAGGCCCTGGACGAGGGCCTGGTGCAAAAGTGCACCGACTGGCTGCGCGGCGTGGAGGCGGCGGCCGCAGCGCGGGGCCCAGCGGGGCGCCTGGGCGCGCTGCCTCACTTGAGCACGCTGTGATCGGGGCACGGGCACGGCTGCCCGCACCCCCTGCAGACTGTAGCCCACCCACCCGGGGCCCTCGTGGGGGACACACAGCCCCATCTGGCTGCGGTCTCTCCTCCAGGGCCGGTGAGCCGAGGAGGCCCGCCCGACGCCCTCGGCCCCTTTGCAGCCTCGCCGCTCAGTCCCCCTTTGTCTCCCCAACACCGGTGGTCCCTCCCCAGAAGTCCGCCTCGGCGGACGCGGCTGTCCCGGCGGCTGGCCGGGGAGCGGACAGCTGGCAGATGCCTACTGTGTGTTTAGTTCCAGGGGCCCTCTACCTGGGGCAGGCCTGCCCACCGCCACGTCCACACTTGGACTGAGCGCTAGTCTGCGCCCCCGCTGCACTTGGAACGTGGTGCTGCGCTTATCACTTTATTTTCTCCCAACTCAGAAAAATGTTGGGGGTCATGGAAAGCCTGGAAATCAAACTTGATGTAATTTCCAGTATTTGAAGAGGAAGGGTGATGACCCGGAACTAGTCACGCGCTTGAGTCAGCTCTGCTCTGTCGTCACACGGCAGATGACTCATCGCCAGCCTTGTGTACTGGGTGTGCACGCACTCACGCGCGTGCACGCTCACATAGCCACTCACGCCCGCAAAACTCGCACCTAATCCCTTGTGAACACATAATCACACTCACACATACATGCACACTCAGAGTCTCTCCTGAAGCAGTTTTGGGAATTGTTCTCTGGTTGGATTAAGGCAGGAGCCCGAGTAAGGGTCGGCTTTTGTTAAAAATGGAATCATCTTTATTTGATGTGCTCACAACATCTCTTTTGTGGAAAGAAAAAGGTAACGGTACGAAGAGGGGCAGTGCTGGAGCCTGTAACCCCCAGAGGCTGACAGGTGCCAGGGCCACTTAGAGATTTGATGGGAAAGAGGAAGGCCATGGGTGAGGTGGAGGAAGGCTATGGTGTATTTATTTTTGGCATTTTTAGTCACTGTGTGAAAATCAGTGATGGCTTATACAACTGTATATAGTGATTAAAATTTTTCTATTATTTGAATAATGAGTAAATTTTTATTAACCGCACCCTTTCCCCACTAACTGGAGACTGATTCTAGATATTTCTTCCATGCATCTGGGTATATTTAACTCTAAGGATGAAAGGAAATAAAGTATTAAAATCAGATAAGATTGGTTACAAAAGAGTAATGCATTACCTCAAATGTTGACTGATTTTGTAAGTCAATTACCAGCTTAATGTTTATATTGTTAGACTTTAATGTGTGAAGCCTTAATTATATTTTAAATTGCAGCCTTACATTTTTTAGAAAAACATATCTTTCTTGTAGAGGTCTTTCCCTGAATCTTGCTCCAATTCTAGGCACAGATTTAGATTTAATTCAGTGGGCACTAAGTCAGCTGCCAAATGAGTCTCAGAGACTAAAACCTCACCCACCAATAACTTTTCTGACCCTTATTTGAGTTCAAGATATATTCTCTTTTACTTAAAATGAATACATTAATACCACAGGGATAAAGGTAGCCATGCTTGCCCCATATAGCCAAGCTGTGAATGCTCTCATTCCCCGACCCAGTCCACCCGAGATGACCCTTGTGGAGCTTGCTCCCATACAGAGTGTGGGGTCTTCAGACAGGAGGGCAGTTCAGGGCGTGGTGAACCTGCCCAAAGGTGAGCAGTGGCATGGTTTGGTCTCATCTCACACTTAATGCAAAGATAAGCCCTTTCCTCCCCCTCCCTCAGGCTCTTCACCCCCCACCCCTTTCTTAACTGCCTACAGCACAAAACTAAGCACACTTTCCTCATGTCTGTTAGAGCTTGTATTCCTTGTTCTTCACTTTCAAAGCAAATGACTAGGACGTCTTTGTTTCCCAGGTTAGTGAATGTCAATAAAAAGCAAAACAGGTTCTGCATTAATTCAGTAGACCTGGAAAGGAGCCCGTAGGGGCCACTGTGCCACCAGGTTTGGGAACTGCTGCTATATAGTTGGAGAGATACAGAGCTTCACTCAGGAAACACCTAAGGCGGGTTTCACTCCTGTGTCCTGTCGTTAGAGGCCCCAGGGCTGCTCTGTCAACATCAGAGTCTCTAGGTCAGCAGTTGTTAACCTGTGGGTTGCAACCCCTTTTTAACAGTGACAATACATTGCGGTACTAGGAAGGTTGCCTCCTAATACACACTTACATGACAGCACAGTCCACGTCCTGATCCCACTGTGTCACCAGACACTGCTCAGAGACTGAGCAACCTTAGCACAGAGATGAGATTTACCAGAAAAGCTCAAGCCAGGTCTCAGATCTGTAACCTGAGTTTCAGAGATTCCATTCAGACCCCCACCAACCTCTGTTTTACTTTTGTGTTTGTGTCACTGTTAACTTCTGCTCTGAATTCTTAACAGTGGTGAGAGTCCTGTGCGAGGCAGGTGGGGTTAGGCTGTCGCCTGCCACCCGCTGGGCTGGCTGCCTTTGTGCATTCTCCAGTGGCAGGTGTGTGTAGATAAATACTTTGTCCTTTGTCTGTCTGTCCGTCTATCTGTCTTTCTTCTCTTCTTTTCCTCACCATCCTTCCTTTTTCTTCTTCCGACCACTTTCTGGCTACTTTCTTTTGCTCTTAAATTTCTCTTCTTTCTTCTCGCTGGCTCAACAGGTGTTGTGCTCTCCCCATGGGTGGAGGTCACTGAACTAAGAGAAGGTGAGGCTCTCCTCTGGGAGTAAAGCTCAGACGGTCTCATCACAAAACACGGCAAATAGTTGAGGTGATGGACAGATTAATCAGCTTGACTGAATCACTCCACATTGTATTTAAGAATCATGACATCGCTTGTACCCCATAAATAACATAAAACAATAATTTATCAATATGCAATAACATTTTCCTTTTTAAAAGAGAAAGAGGGGATAGCGTGCTCTATGGTCCTCTTCTGGTGTTTGTGGGGAGCCAGACACAATCCTGGGTGGATGCTCACAGCCTTTCCTGCCTTTTCCTATTGATTGCAACCCTTTGGCCTATTTTGTAGCTAAAGGCAAGGGGTTGGGTAGGGAATTCTATGGTATGTGTCCCTAACTGCAACTAAGCTGTCCCTGGCAGCACAGTTTCCCACGCCTTCTTCACCCTGGGAGCTGGGCAGGACACACCTGTGTCCTCAGGGCTACGTGCCCAAAGAAGTGTCCCCCTGTGTTGATGATGTAAGAGAAGCATCTCTGAAAATCCTCTCTTAAATCAGCGCAGGCTCAGCTTAAGGCACCAGCCACATATACCATACTGGTAGATTCGAACCCAGCCCAGGCCACCTAAACAACTGCAAAAAAAAAAAAAAAAATAGCCGGGCATTGTGGTGGGCACCTGTAGTCCCAGCTACTTGGGAGGCTGAGGCAAGAAAAACACTTTAGCCCAAGAGTTGAGGTTGCTGTGAGCTGTGACACTACGGCACTCTACTGAGGGCGACAAAGTGAGACTCTGTCTCAAAACAAAAAACAAAAACAAGAACATCCCAGTGTGCACTTGTCACTTGGTCACTTCACAATAGAGCAGTGTTTTTCAACCTGTTCCATTGCATGGCACAGTTTAACCTATAGTTAAACTTTCACGGCACACTTAAATTATGTTGATCCAAAAAAAGTTTAAAAAAATACTTATTGTGCTTTGAACTTCTTTCAAAAATAATTTAATTAATGGTCTTAAAAATTGTTTGCAGCACACTAGTTGAAAAATCGCTGTGGTAGAGGGCCAGCACCATTCTAATCAAGACATTTATCAGAAAATGACCTCAGGACTGAGGGACTGGGCTGGGGTTACTCAGTTACTCTCATGTAAGTAGGGATCCTTATTAGGGGGAGTTGCTTGAAAGACACTCTTAGGAGCAAGCAACTATCTGGCAAAAGGAACGGAAACAGACTTCCCAGAGACACTGGGTGACTTTGGGAGGGTGCTAAGCATCCCCTGAACTGCTTGTAGGGATATGGGTGGCAATGTCCAACCTGGGCTGCCTGGCTCCGACCTCAGGCCCACCCCTGCACCCCTGCTTCCCCGGCCAAAGCATGCCAAGCCCCTGCCTGGCACCTGTAAGGCCCTATGTTACTGGACACAGGGCAGCACAGACACAATCACACCAAAGAGCTCTGAAACAATGGTGTCTTCTCATCTGTAGTGTTGTCAACCCAGAGAAAAGAGACAAGGACTTCAGATAAAGGGCTTCATTCACTGACCTAAAGCCCAGCAAGCAGCCACTTCTGTGTCACCCTGGGGTCTTTGGGAAACTATGGAGAGAAGAGGCAGTGCCAGTTAAGGGACATTTAAGAACAGCTTGTCTTCCACAATTTCCTATTTATAGTAAGTTGAGATTGTCTCTGGCAGATTGGGTCCAGACAGTGGCCTCAGAGCTACACTAGGGATTATTGTAACTCTGCGCTCTCAGCAGGGGGCATGGACTTCACAGAAACAAGAGCTACTGGCCCCTTTTCTGGGGACACCTATCTGGGCTATCAGCCTAGCAACTCCTAAGAGAAAGTTTACTCACTCTTCCACAATGATGGGATATTACCAGAATTTTATAAAAATGTGTTCAAAATATACTAAGTGTAGCATGACAAGAAGGGCTCTCATCCCAGCAGTGCGATTGTACAAATGGGTGTCCAGGCAAAAATGGAATTGTGATGCATCAATATTTTGCTGTGTGTAGTTTTTATGTTACATTTACTGTTGTTCTAGAATCATCAATTGATGATTAGGAAAATATATGAGGAGCTGGGTAACAAAGGGACAGAGAGTTTTTTAATTGCATGAGATCACTGCCTAAGAAACAGGCTTGTGTTTTCTGGACACAATGAGGCTGTTTCCAGTTGCACTGGAGACCAGGCAACAGGCTGGAGTTGCCAGATTTCTTGATTTTTCTGAAGCCACCCCTGTCATTGAACCCAGCATTCTTGTCCTTATTGTCAGTAGCCAAAGCGTCTTGTTTTGCTCTAAAACATAGCATTTATAGGTATGCTCTGCAAGGTGACCTGAGT